GGTCGTTTGGCGTGGATGTAACAAGCGAGATCACGAACAGAGCAAAGGTGACCCCCTCTCTCTCGCTCTCTCGGAACAGTTTTTGCCGGGCCACACCGGGCACCGACATGGTGGTTTTAAAGAGGTCGATGCCGTCCTCGAAATAAAACCGTTGCATTTCTTTTACGGCTTCGACAAATGGGCCTACATCTAAATTGTTATACCACTCGAGGAAATCTCGAAACGTGGACATCCCTTCCCGTCTCCAGACTTCCTCGAGGTCGGTATAATTGTCCTCGACTGATTTCAAGCCGTCGTCGAGGACAGATTTCTGTTTGAGACTGGAATGCCAAGCCTCGCCCAAAGGTGGAAGCCGTGTTTCTTCCAGCTTGTCGACCGTATCAAGATACTCGTAAGGGAAAAATCCCTTTTTCTCTTGTACACCGAAAGCTTTCAGAAACTGAGCATAACTCGTTCCGGGAGAGAGATACTGGGTGACGTCAAGAAATTTAAAACTCTCGTTACTTTGACACAAGTAACCGTTGTTTTTCTTGACGGTGAACCCGCGAGATTCCGCATCGTCGAGAGAGAGATGTTTGGGTAGCTTTTCCTTGATCACGTTCAAGTCGTAACGAGCTGAGTTGACAACAGTACCCCAAAAGTTTCCCGTACAAACTGGAGAGTTGCTTACGAAGCTGTGAAAGAGGGTTATTCGGAGCACCCTCTTTCTTCTCCTCATCTCCAGACTCGGGCAAACTAGCCAGTCGGGTGATGAGGTAGCCCAGCTGAAAACTCCATTTCTCCGTGGCGAGTTCGTTCACTCTGGAGGCGATCTGAGACATGTACTTTATCATGTCGCCGATCAATACTTCTTGATCGGCATTGACGATGCAGTGAGGAGAGGTAAACCCCTCCACTTTGCAACACACACTCACAGAAATGGGCCTGTGTTCCTGCATCCACCTCAGTTTCTCGGTGCCCTGATTGATGGGCTGGAGCAAACATTCAAAGTCGAACACGATAAACCACGGAAAAAATCTCTCTCCGGACTCGACAGATAAACCGTACTCTTCCAACTCGTCAAAGACACTTTTGGTACGCCGGTGGAAACCACCGGGAAAGGACAAGGTTGTTTGACCCGTACACGTGCGCTGGTGTTGATTAAAATTAGATTTGTCACGGAAGAGCTTTTCACACGTGAGGCACTGATAACGTTTACAATACGTTTTCATATCAGTGATGAGGGACAGATGGGATTCATAGCGGTTTAGAAAGATGTCATCGTTAAACTGGCCGCGAGATTTATACAGGGGTTGAGCTATCCCGATCTCGTTGAGAGTATACACAGACAGGTTCACACCGAAGCAACTTTCGAAATGAGAAAAATGACCTGGGTCAAGACCGGTATACTCCTCGGGGCGAACATTGTCCAGAGAAGGAAAAAGTTTACCCCGAGAGTATACCACCCATTCATAGTAAAGAGCTCTAGCAGGTTTTTCTAAAGAACGCCGTGCGCAAGGGTTGCGATGTAGCGCCAAGCAGCGGAAAGCACACAAGTGGTCCTCGTAAAGTTGACCACGGTCATTACGATCTAAAGAAAAGATGGTTTTGTGGTTTTAATATAAGCCGGGAGTGGGGAGGGGGGATGGCCGAGAGGAAAATTTGTTCTGTAGACGTAAAACTGTACATTCGTGATCAAAACCGGTTTCCATTTGGTGTCGGGACGCTGTTTCAATACATGAGAGAGGAGATCTAGGCTTTCTACTGCTTGACGCAATCGCTCGAGTCCCTTGCACTCGGTGACATAGATGGGAGATGAAAACAGAGCATCATTAACGTAGGGATGGAAATAGCGATAGCGCCCCGTTTCCACGTGACGCAAGGTGACACCGAACGCTAAATTCATTCTAAAACTATAATTTAAAGTTTGATAAATATCCCTGGCACATTCCATCAACTCACCTATCGAAATGACATTGGTCACGGGAACGTTGAATGTCGAAAGCACGTCCCCGTGATGGTCCGGGGCCAGGATAAACGGAGCGTTCAGGTCATAAGCCTCCTGAAGTCCGAGCTCCGCTACCTGGCCATTTTCCGCGTCCCAAGGGGCCGGATCCTCTCCCCAGGGACGATCCTGGAGCTTGTTCTCCTTCCCGTCGCCACTGCCGGACTGGGACGGCAAGACCCGATGTCCCTCTGTCATTTGGTGTCGGTAGAGAGACGACCGGGTCAGAAAACGTTGGTGGCAGGTGCGACATGAAAAAGCTTCAGTCGCACGGCGGGAAGAAGCTGTTGAGAGAAATGTATACATCATGAATAACTGAACGAAATGCATAGACTTAGGCTTCAGCTGAATGCTATAGTTCTGTATAGTTATGTATATCTTAATCATATGCATACCTCCAGGTGACTTCATTTCAGCGCCGCTCAGCCCCGAGGAGGTGGACGGTTGGGGCTCTGTGGTAGTGGGTCCTTTAATAACGAGAGATATAAAATGGTCTATAAAACTAACTCATGCTCAAATCAAACGTAAATATAAAATAAATATTAAAAAAAAAAAAGTGTTGATTCTGTTTCGTTCTATAATTTCTTATACAATGTATTATAAAGAGAATGTTTTATGAGTGTATTTTAATGAAATAATGTTCATGCTAGCAGTTCAGAATCAATATCACACTTACTGTCGGAATGAAGTCGTCGGAAATGCACGGCCAACTCACGGGGAGATGCAAATTTTTCAGAGCATTTCTGTAGGCATAAAAAGTAGTTTTACTATTACTTGATCACACTTATGCAATGAATGTAAAAACAACAATAACTCGACGATAGTGATATTTTAAGTCATATAAACACCGGAATAACACGAATTTTATGACAGTACTATTTTATAAGTTACAGTAACAGGAAATTTCTGTGTTGGTAAAAATAGATCTTATGAAAACCTATGAATGCATAACCAAGACTCACAGTGCCGTTTTAAGTCTTAGTAACGCTGTACTACCACGACATATAGATAGATGTGTAAAAAATAGATCTTATGAAATATCGTTTATACATAAATTTCAAAACTTACGCTACACTGGTAGTGCTCCAACCGCTGCGAGAAGGTACACTTGTGTTGTTTCAAAATTTCGTTTCTGGAAAACGATTTGGTGCACTTCTCGCAAACGAAACGCTCTCCCCTGTGTGTGGTGCGGGCGTGTCTAGCCAAATTATCACGGCGAGAATAGGATTTCTCGCAATGTGGACAATCGAAGGTTCTGAAATGAATTAATTTTCGCCGTTAGATAGGATAACTATTACATGGAAGTACGAGACATTTCGGATGAAATGGATGTTACAACAAAATAAAAAAAATAAAATAAACTCACCCTTTTGGAGAATCCATCTTGAAAACGCTATTAGCTAAAGAAGAAGAGGGCGCAACTCAATTGACGTGTTGTCGGTTTGAAGGCTTTCAGCAGACTAAGGCGGTAACAGTGTTGGCTGGTGTATTATATGTTGTAGAATGACCAAATAGCTCTGCCTTATATCGTGTTGACAGAGCGCTCTGCATTCAGTTCTTTCCACACGCCTTCAGCGTTATAGTCAATGCAGGGTGACGTGACGACCTCGTTGTTGCGCGCTAAACGTAATTAAACGACACCGCTAGCTCGCTGATTGCTTAGTCTTATCTATTTGGCTATATTTTTTTTTTTCTATACGGGTTGTCTAACGTTCACGGTGTACAACGTGTAGACCGTACAAGATGAATTTGATCCAGCTAGACGTACATTTTGTTTCCCCTTACCTACATTAACCGGCGTATAACGTGTTGACATAACCCTCTATTGCGGTACTTGTACTTTTCAACACACACCCTGCATTCATCAAAACCAGCGGTTAATTTGAAACGACTACGTGAGTTGTACACTAATTGTAATTTCTACTTACGTCTGAAATAAACGAAACCATTACGACCAACAAACAATTTGAAACGACGTGGTCACGTGAGTTGTCAAGCGCGCTCAATTCAAACTGGGCTGCTTGTCTATTCAGGGCAGCACGCCATACGCATAGCTCAATCGAATACCCTTTACTTTTTGTTTACTTACGAATTCTTTTCTGTCTTATACACACACACCTTTCATTCCCCCACACCTGTGACGCGCTGTCCCTTGCGCTCGCTCCGATAGGCTGGGGGGCCCTTTCACGCTCCCTCCACCTTTCCCTCCACCAAAAACAGGGCCTGCCTGGTGACTCTATACTACTACCTTGATATGACACTTTGTTCAGAAATGATATAAATAAGAGAATACTTTATCATTCCCAAGAAAATTTGGGTTACATTGTAATAGCACAGAGAAACAAGCATAAGAATCATGATTTAAGTTAAATACACTCGACCCGTGAAGATTCCGGGGTAGAATAGATCTTCAGCAACCCATGCTTGCCGTAAATGGCCACTATGCTTGTCGTAAAAGGCGACGAACGGGATCTGGTGGTCAGGCTCGCTGACTTGGTTGATGCATGTCATTGATCTCAATTCCGTGGCTCGATGCTCATGATATCAATCACTGTGTTGTCTGGTCCAGACTCGATTATTTACATACCGCCGTCATATAGCTGGAATATTGCTGAGTGCGGCGATAAACAACAAACCAACCTAAATACACTCATACATACACACACAAACACAACATCCAAACACCAGGGTTAGAAATTGGCACCAGTCATTTTGACATTTTAAAGGTTTTGCTATATGCTATCATTTTAGGACTAGTGGACTAAAAGTGTTAGTTTCTACCGCTGCAAACACTAATCAACTAATGAATTGGGTGGTCAGACTAGGTTGTCATCATACTCTGAGGGCATGGATCTTTGCTGATAATAACAATCACTAGATTGTCTGGTCCCTGTTCAATTATTTACAGGCTGCTATCACAGAGCTGGACTATTGTGAGTGTGATGTTTCACACTGCATTGAAATATACCATGATGTATACATGTAGTTTGTATTCATCACAAACAAAAATACTCACTCAATACTTGGTATCCTCCCTGAGGATGTCTGTAATCCTCCCCACAAACCCTGAACATGCTGAAACAGAAAACAACTAACTTGTCTTTATCCTTTCAATGTTTCAGTGTGAATTTGTTAAAGATTGATAAGCTGTCATAATCCATATCTCACTTTCAGGCGGTTCAGGTGGCAACACATGATTGGAATTGAATGCAACATTTTGTTTGACATGCACTTTGCCAGATTTATACCCTTGGTAACTAACCCTCATCATCAAATCCCAGCGTTATGTTGAGAATAAGGACACGACCCTTAAAAGTCCTGCACCTGTAGCTCTTATGCAAGCCCAAATAGAAATACCATGTCACCACAAACACTTGATCATAATAATAACAAAGGGTTTCCGAAAACAACAAAACTAAAAGGCCCTTGACGTTTACAGTAGTAACATGGAGATCAAGAAAATATCTAAATCAATCCATTCCATAAGATCTCTGTATAGAAATCGTGGAACATTATGTCTCGAAGCCCTGCTACGTACCTGGCATCTGAAAGCTGCTCTTCCTTCCTTCGGCTGCCAATCGAGTTTTCGAAATACTTGACGTCCTCGTTGTGGATGGCTCAGGTAGATTTCGACCGGGATTTCCGTGTTTGGGGTGATTGAGAACAATGTATTGATACACGAGGTAAGCATATCGCAATCAAGCATCACGGTGTACATCGATTACACGAGGTTTAAGTGTTTGTTTACATTTGTGTTCCAAAATGGCGCCCTCGGTCATACAGGGAATTATGAGTAGACTTGCTTGTCCCGGAATAACACGAGTTGGTCACGAATGACGAGCGGTCATTTCTGCAGCAGTTACGGAAAGAGGCCGATTACAGTTCATACAGGCCATATTGGGAGCCGCGCGGATTTCGACAGTGTGTATTAGGAAGTGTATCTATGTGGTGTATGGAATATGCGTTTGCCTACCATGCCAGGCAGTGTGACAAGGGATATCCCAGCGATTGTAATATTCCTACAGCAGAAATGTTTCACAACCTCGATTGCAGGGTGCTGAAGACGTGACATATTCAGACAGAGACCATAATACATAGACTGTTATATGGTCTCTGATTCAGGTAAGGAATATGTTAATAATATTGATCAAGTATTAAAGTTATTTATCTTCTGTAAGCCACTTATTCTGTTTTATATATGTTAGTAAATGTGTGCTTTAATTTTTGAAGGATAAGCAATCCATCTAACTAATGTTAATCCTTGCTAATGTATATGATGTAGAAATATGTTTGCTTTCTTATATTCCTTTATCTAGATACTCTAAAGTGTCTCATTTTTTTAGTTCATACCGTACCGACTAAACTTACTTTTGCAGGTGTGAAGAATCAAGAACAGATTAAATGACAGGAGTTTTGCAACAGTGAACATTGTGAAGTGGAAGATAAGACATTTGAAAGGTATGGATATTTTCACTTGAACTTGTTGAAGAATACCGGGATGACAACTTTATCATGTTGGGAATTTTGGAGGTAGGGTAGCCTAGTGGTTGAAGTGCTGAAGACTAAGGTTCGATTCTTGTCATGGGTACAATGTGTGAAGTCTATGTCAGGTGGCCCTTGCTGTGGTATTGCTAAAAACAGTGTAAAATCATACCCACTCATGTGGAGATTCCGGGTTGGAATTGGTCCCCATCAACCTATGCTAGTTGTAAGAGAGGGTTATACTATAAAGGCAAATAGCGCCTCGCCTACTATTGCCTGGTGAAAACAGCACCTTGTTATTTGTTTTACCTTGAATACCTCTGAATATGCCCGAATACATGAAATTAAACTTGCATGGTCACCTGTAAACACAAATAACTGAGAAATGTTCAAAAAGGTTTACATTAAAAACTAGCATCTACTCGCCGACTCTGATTTGGAGATGCAACTAAACTTATTGTGAAAATATAATGTGCTTTGATTTCTTTGAAGTAAAATAAATGCAATTAAACATGCAAACACAAATAATTGTTAGATGTTAATCACCTAAAAATAGTTTACATTAGAAATTAGCCTCTGCTCAAATTTACTCATGATTCTGATCGGGAGGTGCAACTAAACTTATCATTGAAAGATCACATGCTTTGAAGTCTTAAGTAGCTTTACTCAGATTAGCTCAATGTCAAGCTGAAACTGAGTCTGGCAAAAATGTCAAGAAACTGGACAACAGGTATACTATATATGTCATATTTATTTTAGTAAGTATGAAAAAAATAGTTATTTTATAGAAATTTCATATATATATCTTTCGGCCAGGAATCAACATGTCTCTCCAGATAACAGACAACAATAAGTAGCCCTTTTTGCCAAAACAAGTTGCTGTTTTCGTCCGAGAAATCAGTGACATTTTGCTGAGGTGCCGTTTTAGCCTCACCCATAAGAGATCAGGTGATCAGGCTCGGTGACCTGGTTCATGGCATCTGAGAGTGACCATCTAACAGTGTGGATTGATGTTCACAATATCAATCACTGGATTGTCTAGAATTTCGGGCCTTCCTTTAGAATACAGTACCTAACTTTTCAAACAGGTCACAGTACCCTGTGGTGTAATTCGTAGTATTCTGTTGCCTGACACACTGGCAAAACAATGCCTTGTGATGTCAGGGGTCATTGGATGTGCATATATATGCTCTTTTCAGTGGTCTATCGTCTCCACACGCTATATAGTTGCATAAGTTTTAATTATTTGTTTACTAAATATTGTTTTAAACATATTTATTTCACAACTTGTGAACTGGATGGGTAAACAAGCAAAAACTTATTTGAATACCGCTCCAGAATTAGAATACAATATGATATGACAAAAGTACAGTCAAGGAATACAATTATATACATGTTCTTATTATAGAAACTACGTTGTCGGCGCTGTCAGGTCGCATTTTTAGTAGTAATAGTGTACTGCAATATACGACAAGGAATAGTATTATAAATTTAAGATGCTATGTAAAATCACAAAACCTATTGGATAGCTGAATGTAGTCTTGTACTGATTTAAGAATTTCTAAGTTTTGACGTCCTTTCAGGATTACCTAATAGAATTGAATTTAGATCATATCCTTTAACATAATAGTACATATTCTGTCTTAAATCATTGTAATTTGGGCATATGAGAAAGAAGTGAAGTGCATCTTCAGTGTGATGGCCACAGCTACATGCAGGATTATCTTATAAATATTGCCTGCGAATGCACATTTTATAACAAGTGCTTGTTTATTTTCTATATGCTTTTATTTCATTTTTTACTTATTACAGTGGTTAAAATGATTTTAAATATAAATTGAAACTTATAATGTGCAATAAGCGGGTTATAGCTGAAACGACACCTTAGCAAAACGGCACTGACTGGCGAAATACTCGCCGAAAGCGAAAACGGCGATTATTACTTGACAAAATTATCCCTTATTTTTGAAAATAATGAAATGAAATTAAACTTGGATTGATAACTTGCAAAGACCAATAATTGTGAAATGTTAAAACAAGTTTACATTAGAAATTAGCCTCTACTCCAACTTATCCTATACCTGACTCAATTTATTGTGATAACATGCTTTGAAGTAAAATATATGGAATTAAACACACATCTTCTCATACAAACACAAATACATGTAGTTGTTAAACGTTGAAACAAGTTTACCTTCGAGATTATTCCCCGACTCCAATTTACTCACCGACTCTGATTGGCAGACACAGCTCACTTGTTGTGAATGTATTTTTCACTTTAAAGTTTAAACTACCGGTATTCAATGTCAAGCTGTAACTGTATTTAAGAATCCTAATATGGTGCTGTCAGATTACAATTTTTCACAATGGCCTTTTGATGTGTCATTTGAACATGTTGAAAGGTTTTACAAGGGATATTTGTCAGTAATAACTGATGCTATTTCATTGCAACAAATAAATCCGCCAATATGGAACTATTTTATTGATATGTGGCAACAAACATACTTCAGGTTGTACAGTTTACAAATGGGTTAATATCTATGTCATCTTGTTCCTCCTTATGTCTGGGCAGTTGCTTGCTACAATTTCGGAACTTCTTTACAGTTACAGACAGAGATACCAGAACCGTTAACTACTACAAATCAAATACTGTATAGGTTTCATTGAAAGTGTCGCCACAACTGAAAATCTTCAAATACCTGTATTTGGCTACAACTTTGACCATTTTTTTTTCTGTTCCTGCCTATTATCTATTCCTGCCTCAGGTAAGGATGCAGTGATTTATTTAAGTGCACACATATATCACAGATAAACTCCTGAAGTCTATGAAAGTTATGTACAAGTTATACACATAAGGACTTAAAGGCGGAGAATGTATTAATGTCAACTTCTTTATTATGATGATCACAACAATTCGGAGTATGTACTTACTCCTTCATTAGGTGAATATTCACAATTCTGCTCGAAATGCTTAGATCAATGCTTAATATTGTCAACCATATTTGCCATTTTTATATCATATTCATGTGTATAATACATTTTATTATAATAATGGTGTAATTGGGACACACAAATATAAAGTAACCCAATACTTTCCGTAACGGGCGACAATGCTTGTCTCAAGAGTTGACCAACGCCATCATGTGGCGATCAGGCTCGGTGACTTGGTTGATGCATGTCACTGATCCCAATTGTGTGGGTCGATGCTCATGATGTCAATCACTGGACTGTCTGGTCCAGACTCGATTATTTACATATAGCCGGAATATTGCTTGAGTGCGGCATAAAACAACAAACCAAATCATAAGTGCGGGATGATTGATTTGAAATTAGCAAGTTTTATCTGACCTTCAATCACTACAACCTGATCTGAGTCTTGAAAAGATATGACTTTGATTCAGTGAAAATTTGCATCATGATAGTTTAAACTGTAGATACAGTTAATCTGTTTTTTGTACAGTTTCTGTTTATTCAATGTATATGTTGTTCAAATAAGCTTTGCCTCTTCATCAACCCTATTCCTCTTTTGGAATAAATAGTGTCTAATAATTCAAACACCATCACTACTAATCATCATAGTAAACACAACAAAGAAATGCACATCAAAAACGTCATTATTATTATTGCTGATCTCTGATAAATTAGAAAAAACTGTTATCCAGCAAGATACATTTCCTTGGTCCAAAGAAGCATGTTACATAGTAAACTGACTCGATAAGTTGAATAGCTGTCAGCGTGGTTGTAAAGGCACAACTGACTAAGCCGTCACTACTCAATTAAGTAATTAACAGACAATTGCAAGTACTAATACCCACCCGACACTAATTGCCCTGTTAATCCCTAGTCCACAATGAGTTGACATTGTGTTCATTTTGCTAATTAGCTGTGTTTAGAGTAGCAAGGTAATAAACATCAAAGGTGGGGCAGGCTTTGATCATGTGTTCTGTAGAAGAGACGATGTCACTTGTTTTATGTTTATTTAGGATTAGCTACATCCCTTGGTGCTACCAAGGCAGCCCTTGAGATTATCAGATAGTTTGGCTAGACACAAACTGATGTCTCCTTGTAGCACACTATGTGTCAGACACAGACTTTGACCACTCTGTGCAGATGCATATCAATGCATAAGGAACATTGGGTAGATGATTCAACAATGCCACACAAGTCAAAGTTGGGTTTCACTGTATTTAGAAACAGATGATGGATCCAAAACTTTATAACAGTAATTATGATTAATTTAAATTTTGCAAGGCCAATATTTTGGCAGATTTGCATGTTATTGTTAATCTTCCTTTAGTTAATTTTCAAAAAAGATAGGATAAATGATAAATGATAAAATATGATAATGAGTCATGAATATTTGAATTCAGATCAGAACAAACAGGGAGGGTCACCCCATAATGTGAGAGTCTCTAGGGAGGCTTTTGACAAAATGGACAATACAATATAAAGTGATTTGCATTTTCTTTCAGGGAGGGTTGTGTCAAAAATGAATGAGAACATACCGGTAATACATGACCGGCCCCTTTAATGTAATATACATAGTTTTTAGTTGATGGTTCAGGTTGTACTTTTCAGTTGAATTTCTTATCACTGTCTATGATGGACTACCAATTAACGGTAGATATTAAATATCCATAATAACTTAGATAAATGCTCCTACACTCTCATCCTAATTTGTCAAAATTTGAATTTCAATACAGCTTCCATTAATGAATTAATGAATTTGGTGAGAATATCTGTTGTCTGAGTTCCTAATATACTTTCTTTTGTATTTGGTGTGCTTGGGTAGCCTAGTGGGTGAAACAGTCTCTGAAACCCGGGTTCAATTCACCACATGGGTACAATGTGTGAAGCCCATAGCTGGAATATTGCTAACAAGCTGCATGAAACTATACCAACTCACTCGCTCATTATGTTGTATTTTGAGATCACTTACATCACATGTGTTTGATAATTATGAATAGTTGCATTTATGTATTTATGTATAAGAACCTATGTAACTTAGTTTTGCATAGTCTTGTTTACCCTTCCTTACATTTTGATGTAATACAAACATTCAAGCAAAATTCAGGTGAACCTTGTGATATTGTTTTAGAAGACCGGATACATTTTTGTATTTTCTGAACACTTTTCTGTTTGCAATGGCTTATTTACATGTTCAAAGATTGGTTAAATATCAGTTGCAAGATAAATTGTCAATACCTCACTGTTCGAGAAAACAATTTTAAACATTTGTAAATATGTGTATGTTTCATAACTTTTGACTAACAAGTTTCTAAAGATGTTATGAAATGTTTCAGGTACCTGGATTTCACAATCTGACACCAGCTACATTTAAGAAGATCTTGCTCACACAATTCAGACAAGGGACTCGCCGGATGATGAACAGTACTCCTGATAACAACCAACAGATTCACCTCAGAAAGTGATGATTCTGAATGAATAATGCCACATCAGTGTTACTGTAGGTGGTTTTATTATGAAACTAATGAAGTCTGAATGAATTTATGCCAAAGCACTGTGACTATGTCCAGTTTGTGTACACCGATGCTGACTATACAAATCTGAATGACTTTTGTGGTTTACTGCAGAAACATAATTGACTTTAGATATTCTTCTTCAATAAAATTCTTCTGATAATTGACTAATTTGTTTATTTAGAAAATGGCATTGAAGCGTCTGTTCTGTAAGTCCTAGCAAACACCACTGGTTACTATATGCTAGTTCCTCTTCTTGCTTGATCAAATTTCAATTTGTGATATGTACCAATGAAATGCCGTATAATCAATAAATAAGATTTTTTTCCAAAAACATAATTTGTTTTGCTTCATTAGCATAAAGAAATATTATACTGATCAGCCATAACATAGGTGCTGAACAAATATAAAATGTACTAATGCCCTGAATGTTTTCCTATTATAAATACAGCTCACTTAACAAAAGTTGTAGTTCCACCTTAGTAGACAAATGACATTTGTTTGAGGAGGATCATTACAACTAAAATAACACAGAATATTACAACAGGTACCTGTAATGCACAGGGTAACATTATTTACCAGAAGCAATTCATGAAGAAAATTTGCATCCGGATACCTTCCAGAAACCTTCCAGATGCCTTCAACAACCTTCAAATTGCTTGGTATTTTCAAGTTAATTTTTTTATGTGTTTCACACTTAAGTGAACAAAATGCACCCCCCAAATTTTGACCTTTTTTTGGAAGGTTTCCGGAAGGTATCCGGGCCGGATCCAAAATGGGTAGGTATCCGGAAGGTTTCCGGAAAGTTTCCGGTAGATGGAAACCTACACTTTTTTTGCTGTGTTATAAGCCGTCTCGGTGTACACACAGTGCAGTTCTAAATGGCCCCTGTTATAACCCATTTCTTTGTAGACACGATGTAGTTATAACTGGTTCCTGTTATAAAGGGTCTCTATGTATACAAAGTGTATTTCTGACACCTGTTATAACCCGTCTCTTTGTATACACAATGCAGTTCTAACTGGCCCCTAATAAAACGGGCTGCTATGTATACACAGTGTAGTTCTAACTGGCCCCTGATATAACGAGTCTCTTTGTAGACACGATGTAGTTATAACTGGCTCCTGTTATAACGAGTTTATGTATACACAGTGTTGTTGTTTTGTTATCTATTTATTTGTGTGTGTGCGTGTGTGTGTGTGTGTGTGTGTGTGTGTGTGTGTGTGTGTGTGTGTGTGTGTGTGTGTGTGTGTGTGTGTGTGTGTGTGTGTGTGTGTGTGTGTGTGTGTGTGTGTGTGTGTGTGTGTGTGTGTGTGCGTGTGTGTGCGTGCGTGTGTGTGCCCACTGATCCATGTTGTTAACAAAGAAAATTGATTCCGTTTCCAGATTCGCCGACTGACGAAGGAAATTGAAATGAACAAGTCTATATTAGCAAGTAAGTACAACAATGTTTAATTGCCAAGAGTCAATTTGTAATTACTTTATGCAGACAGCTCAATATATAATTACTTCATAGAACACATGTCCAAGTTGAATCCAGCTGATAATCGTCCCTTGATGTGCTTCTTTTTACTTTATGCAGTGCTGGAGGACGACATATTACCAACACTGAAGGTCCAGGTTAGCACTGAATAATTTCTACTTTAAGTAATACACATAATTTATTAGCCTAAAGGAAATCGTGTTAAGAAATATTTTAAACTTCTTCATAAGTGTAACATCCAAGATTTGATGTTGGTACACACAATGGTTTACATATGACCTGCCACAATAACTTCATATTGGAAACTGGATGTATCGTTCTGACATACTTGCAGATAGGGCGAGTCCAAGAGCAGCTAGCAGAGTATGAAAGAACTGACCCAGGTACACCTTCCTATCATTACCCTTCTTCTTCCGTTTGATTTTGTCCGACTTATGAACAACGCTGCTTGTACTTTTGTTACCCTAAAACACGGTACCAATTGTCGTTCCATATCTGGTATCCTAATACTGATTTATATACAGCATACATATTTGCCTGTATACATATTTCCCTGTATACATTTATAGCCTGTACAAATGTAATTGTAAAAGTGATTACGGTAAAGATTAATGTGTATGCGCATGGGTAGGTTTCACAGCATTTCATAATTCGTCATCGTCAGTAAGTTCTACAAGCAGCTTGTGATGTATTGGTGACGTGTGTCTATTTTTAGCCAGCTAATGAAACAAGGTTAATGTAAACCTGTCAACGGAAGCTCACTTAACCCACTCCATGCATCAACCGCTTGCAATCGCCTGATAATTGTGTGGAGCCGGTGAGCAATGGGCGCTCATCCATCCACTCTTGTCACGTTTGTGAGCCCGTGTTATTGTCGACATGCATAAGTGTCCTTGCGGATGAGTTGTGTAATGATGACAGCGCGACAATATGATGTATCATGCCTTTTCCAGTCAGCAAATGGAAAACGCTTGGTAGCAAGGAGATTTTCCGCCGAACTTAATGCTTAAAATATATCCTTCTTTTCGGCAATGTTTGTTATTTTACCTATGTAAGCTGTACAATCACAAGTCAGAACAATCTCTAGTTTCTCTTTCACGCAAACCAGGCCGTGATTTGTTTTGTTGGTTAAACACGGAGAACACATAGCATTTCGGTCGTACCTATTCACAGGTGATATTGAAGAGACGTACTGACGATGTCTTTTGTAAACAATCAGGGATGTAGAAGAGTATTATTAATCCGACACATATTGGTAGACTTTTCTGCAGAGTCGAGCCAGATGGTCATAGAAGTGTATTTATGTATTGCTGAAGATCAGCCCTGAACGAATAAATATCATGCCTCTTTTTGAAACAATACATTAAATCATGAAATTAATGCGAGTGGCGATCCCTGGCCTAAAGTGTGTCATGAAGTTCGTGCGAGTTGGCCTGAACTATATATTTTTATCGATAACACCAAGACTGTAAACTTGACATATATGGTATGGTGGCACTTCGATTGAATAATATCAACTGCTATCGTCACAAACTTAACTTCAACTGCTTGATAGAAATCAAAGCGCAGGTTTACAATATTTCAAATAGAAAAGCCAGCTTCAATTACATTGACTTTTATTTTACTTTCCAGAAAAGATGAAAGCCCTAAAGGAACAGGTATATTGTGTTTTGTCTTGATAGCTTCGTGACCTAATCTCCATGTATTGTACTGGTAAGGACAAGAAACTGCAGGATACATCTAATAACAAGTATCAAGGGAACATACCAGTACCTTATTTGGTTAAAACCACATCTATTATAATTATATATATCACGCATGTATGTATCAAATGACAACTGTTCATTTCTCAGAGTATTCCTTAAAAAAACTACCGCCTCCGTGGATAGAGTGGACAGAGCGTCCACCTGGAGAGTTGAGGGTCAGAATTTCGATACCTGGACGCGTCATACACAACGATGGTCAATGATGGTACTTGTTGTTTGCCTTTCTTGCGCTTTGAATTAAGGGGATATAACAATGACTGGGCGACGTTAAACCCGTTTCCCATCATCTTACTTCTTGAGATGATGCGGTTTTGAATCCGATGCCTTGTTTACAGGAAATGTATTTTTCAAATTTTAGATGCAGACCCTGTCAGAAGATCTAAAAAAGTATGGCGCAAACGTAGCAGGTGAGAACATATTAACTTTTTGGCTGTATAGATGTACACATGCCACGATATGCTGCATACAGACATGTTCTATCACATACACGTGTAGAAATGTAGTCTTGTAATGTTGTCTTCTGTGTATTTACAGACGGACGTAAGAAAATTGAAGATCTTTTTAAGCAGGTACGTTTTCCTTTTAATGCAATACGTATCGACATAAAATGTGACCCGTCAAGATTCGGAGTAGAGTAGGTCTTCAGCAACCCGTGCTTGCCGAAAAAAAGCGACTGTGCTTGTCGTAAGAAGCGACTAACGGGATCGAGTTGTCAGGCTCGCTGACTTGGTTGATGCATGTCATTGCATTCCAATTGCGTGGATCGATGCTCATGATGTCAATCACTGGATAGTCTGGTTCAGACTCGATGATTTAAATATTCATATATTTAACGTGGGTAATAAATAAAATGCCACACTCACACTCACACTCACACTCACACTCACACTCACACTCGCTTTTGTTGGGTCAAATACCATAGATAGTCCACTCGTTTCATAAAAATGGCATCTGAGGAGAATAAGTGTAGTATTCTCTATGTATTCTCTATACACAGACGCGGGTAGTGTATCTACTTTTGGTCATGCCTATATTGGCCCAGTCGCTTCTTTTCCTCTGAAAACTAACAACTTTCGCAGAAGACCCTGCCTTTGAGCTGCCATATTGGGACAGATAACAAATAAAGCAGGCACATCTAGCGCCTAGGGCGTTGGCTCTGCTCTTCTTGATGCGCACATGTGGCAATGAAGGTACATCGAGTGCTTTATGATACTAAATGGGATTCGTGAACAGCCTACTGTCGGACAAAGTAAATGCATCCCATGAAGGCTACAGATCCGACTATTGCTGATGTGTGTGGTACGACAGCAAAATACGGCTGTCAACTCTGTACTGGTAACTTCTACATCAAAGAAGATAAGGACTGTTCCAAGGAAAATGACGGTGCTTAAGAACTTTTGCCTTGAAGATCAGAAGTGCCGCTTCAGACTTGCGTGGATCTGGATGTAGTTTTCAGTTTAATACCGATCCCTATCAGCCATTGGCAGAAACGCTAATGTACTTTTTATTTGTCAAATGACTGCAAAAGCTTCACGTATTGTGAAGTGTACGCGGTAAAACGTTACGCAAGTGCAGGTTGACCCGGGCCTAGTGGGACTGTTCTGTGTCTGATTTCGGACTTTGTTGCTGAGCATACAGCACGTGTATCAAGAGAACTGATACCATGACTTTCGAGGACAGATATTACATTTGCCAAATTCTATCTACGGGATTTGGTGACAGAAGATGTGGATGGTATTCACCAGTTTGGACCACAGGTGTTAACACAGCAGTTGAGTCTGACGCGTGTATGTCAATCGGAACGAGGCGAAAATACAGTAAACAGAATTAAATTTAGATATAGCTTACATTTATTACATTCGTCAATTTCATCGTTGCCAGTGTCTTTTCATGCACGTTTTGATGTATCTTGAGTTTTATGCAACTTCCAGTAAGGGATGAAGAGAAGGGGCTGACCAAAGGGTTCCATTCCGGGCACTGAGATGCAAAATCTAGTGCCATGCATTGTGTGTTCTTTCCAGATCAGATTGTTTGTGTTTGAATTGTTTCCGTGAATAGATGATGCATTCGTTATTGACGTGGAAGTTGGTGGCCTTTGATGTTGCAATTCTACATGCAGTTATACAAGCTAGTACACATTTCATATGAATTACATTTGTGATACATGTAGAGAGTGTACATGTACAAGAACACTGACAATATATATCTCCTACTCATCTTGAATAATAATTATATGTACATGATAAAATGTTTCCTCACTATGTAATTCAAATGTATATGTTTCTAAATTGCCTGGTTACTGAAATTCTCAAAATAAATACACAAAGACAGATCAGCTCACCAAATTAACCGCATCAGGGATGAGTATAAAAGAAGCAGATTTTTGCTTGAAGCTCTACTCAGAAGGTTAAAGTCGATATTCCTCTGGAATCTACAATAATGGTAATGGTCTTTACAAGAGATGAACATATATATCTATATATATATATATATATATATATATATATATATATATATATATATTATATATATATAACTTGGGTTGTACATTACAGTTTCTTCTCACCGACACAGCAATAGGTAGCACCAACAATGAACGTTGATACTTCATTATAAGAAGTTATCTTCTGTTTACAGATTCAACAGTTGGAAAAAGACATATCAGGTTTGTTTATTTCATTTGATGTGAACGTGAGGAGTCATTAGAGTAGTGTGGGGTGAACTAATAAATCTAAGCTGCTGATCTATAATGTCACAATACAAATCGAACATGAAAAAAACACATTAATGTAGTTGTCATCATGTATTACATCAGTCAGATTCATATAATGTAAATCTTAAAATTCAAGCATTGCGTTAAATATTATTGAAATCAATAAGAACATACATCATACATACAGTGCTTAGAAAACTGGTTCAGATAGCTTGAAAAAGTTTTAATGCCAGCTCAATGCAAATTCTTTAGCCCATACATTCTTCATGTTAACAGTTTGCAATGACGACTTATTAACAAAGAAACAAGTTCCATTAAAATAAAAGTATGAATCATATTATTTCAGATAAGAGAAAGCATCAAGAAGCAAAGGCAAGTTCTTTTTAAAAAATATATAAAATTGAAAACCTTGCATTTTAAATGAATTGGGCCGTGCGTGTAAAGTTGTTTGGTTTTTTTTTAATCGACTATTTGAACAGATTATTTGTAAAATGTTGTCGTCCAACACCATTGGTATCTACAATGCATATTCGCTCCATTTTGATCAAGCTTGGTATGTAGATTGACTGTGGATTTGACCATTCCAGAATATATGCAACTGGGAACATTTCTTCATACTAACCTCGTCTGATGTCTCCTACAATGACTGCTGTTTCTCTTCAAATCTAACTCACTCATTCACTCACTCACTAGCTCACTAGCTCACTCACTCACACACCCAACCTCTCACTCACTCACTCACTCACTCACCAACCTTCCAACTCACTCCCTCACTCACCCAACCTCTTGCTCACTCACTCACTCACTCACTCACCAACCTTCCAACTCACTCCCTCACTCACCCAATCTCTCGCTCACTCACTCACTCACTCACTCATATACCCACCCACCCGCCCACCCACTCACACACTCACTCACTCACTCATCCCCCCAGCCCCCCCCCCCCCCCCCCTCTTGCTCACTCACTCACTCACACACCAACCTTCCAACTCACTCCCTCACTCACCAAATCTCTCGCTCACTCACTCACTCACTCACTCATCCACCCACCCACCCACCCGCCCACCCACCCACTCACACACATACTCACTCACTCACTCATCCACCCAAAAAACCGCCCGCCCGCCCGCTCGCTCACTCACTGACTAACTCATATATACCGTTCTCTGCTAGTGATTACTATCTGAGGTACCACAAGTAGGAATGAATAATACAAACAATATCACAATGTTTATACAGATGCAGCATGATGCAGATGCACTGAGTGATGTCCAAGCCGAACAAGCAAGACAGAAAAAGCAACTTGAAAGTAGGCATAAAATAATGAAACATAAATAAAATCAGGCATTAATACACATAGGCAGTATATATATGGTAGTTGTCCCGTTGACGTAATTGCCTTCAGCCATCAAGATTATTATTTTCTCTCACATGATATCTTATGTAACTCGTGCTTCTCTTTCAAGAGGTTTATTTACGGTTGTTGAAATGATATCTGAAGCATATGACAACACAAACTTACTATCTTCAGATGGAAATAGAGCAATAGAAGAATTACAGCGAGCGGCAAGTACTTCTCTAATTACCTTACCATATTGACCATAAAACCCCAATCATCATGTATTAATCAGGTGGCAACAGCTATATCTCTCCATCGTTATGCTTATCATCTCTCGTCACACCAATGTATAATCAATTTTTGTTATCAAATGTACGGAATGAAATTTACAAGAATGATTAATATGTGCGGTTTTTAAGATCTTTGCAATTAAAGTTATGAAAAATGTTAAATTATGATACCAAAAAGATGGAAACTCAAGAATAAGATAATTTGGTAGCAAGGTATGACGTTTTATAAAGGAAAACAAAAGTTATTACCGTCATTTATTGATGCATTAGTTCTATGCAGGCCAAAGCGCAAGTAAATATGTGTGCATGACAGCACTCCTTTGTGGGTAGCATAAATGCTGCATAACGTCCTAGTATTGTGCTGCTCAGATGAAAATACCTCATATATTACTTTTATTACACTCCTATTTCATCTTATGTTTAACTGCGTGACAATTCCCTTTGGTTAATCCAGACGATGTCAATGGCTACACTAGCCTCCAGATTAACAAGGTTTCACTGTATAGTATTTGCTTAAAACCCCACAATGCTATTGGAATACCTAAGACAGTGAGCAGAGTGTTGGTTACTGCTAAACTCCTCCAGCAACTAATAAAAGCAGAACTAACTGCCAGCACTTGCGTGACATGTAGTGACGTAAATACTTGATTGTAGACACAAAAACAAGACGATGAGATGAAGAAAATGAAATCCGACAATATCAAACTCAAAGGTATGTCTAATACACACAGAGTGCAAATTATAAGTGAGCCAGTACAAAATTATTATAGGCATATGCACTTCGGTCATACTGTGGACATTTCCCTCCGATAAACACATACCAGTTGGCCACCTAAACATGGTTTACATGGTCTCTGGTATTCTAGGCAGTTGACAAACGCCAACATACACATCAAGCGTACATGTATAGTGTATGAATAAGTGTCACTGAAACTATGAAACTATATTTACCATTAAACAAAACACATTTAACATCAATGAAACATACACTATCACACAATTCACATTCAGTTCAGCACTGTATAAACAAACACACTCTTGTTGTTTTCAGATGAAAAGGAAGCAGCTGAGAGAAAGGTAAATACGACTTGAATTACTGCCTCGTTCTGTCAGGAAAATACTTCTGTACATACTCAACCTGTCAGGTGAATACTCCTGTATACACTCAACCTGTCAGGTGAAAACTCCTTTTTATACTCAACTTGTCAGGTGAATACTCCGCTACATATTGTATATACTAGTACTCAACCTGTCAGGTAGTAATCATGTATATACTCAACTTGTCATAAAATTGCCCCTCTATATACTCAAACTGTCAGGTAAATACTTCTGTATTTACTAGTACTCAACCTGTCAGGTAAATACTTCTGTATTTACTAGTACTCAACCTGTCAGGTAAATACTTCTGTATATACTCAACCCGTCGGGGTAAAAATACTCATGTATATACTCAAACTATCAGGTGAATACTCCGCTCTATACTCAACCAGTCATATTTTATTGTAAATCATTCTAAATTTTCAAATTTTACAAGCATCGTTGGTAAGTTTCATTTGCCAGTGTGACAACGCCCAATCAGATACTGGATCCTTGTCCCCGTTTTGCTGCCTTCAACATAATCCTACTTTGTATTTGATTACTTTTATGAGTTTGTCGATAACATGACTCACTCAGCTAAACTACACTTGCATTATTTCAGATAAAGGAATTTCAGGAACGTGAAGCGACGCATGTGAAAACCATCCAAGACTTGACGGAACAAAAACAAAAAGGTAGGATTAATATACTAACGGGACAAAAGTAACTGTGCTTCATATAAAGTGGTGTAAATGTTATGTTATTGATAATAGCAACATAATATTGTTTCATTCGCCAGTATAGGTTGTGACTGCCATTTGCATTGATACAGACAATGTAGCGGCGCATTGAAGGCACCAGATGATTGAAATCAACCAGATTGGCCGAGCTGAACTAACGTTTTAGACGTCGCTCTGTCTCATCCCAGACATGTTCCATGGGGGAGCGGTCTGGAGAAACAGCCGATCATGGCCGTACAGCAATGTTATTGTACTACAATAGTCTGCTACAAAACGAGCAACATGTCGGCGGGCATTGTCCCGCTGCAACGTGACGTTACGTCCCTGTTTTTCGTTGATTACGATCCAGCCTTTGAGTAGATTGCACGAAGGGAGAACATGATCTCGAACGATGTCGTCCTTGTAGTGTGGGCTTCAACGTGCCATTACCAAGGACAAGCTGTGTTCTTCCACGAGTCCTAATACCACCCTATACCATTACACTTCCACCCCCAAACGTAGACGTTGATTAACGGAACCATCTATAAAACGTTCTCCTGTAGACCCGTGTGCGACCATCAGGGCTGTCCAGATGAAACCTATCCTCCTCTGTGAACAGTATACTGGCCAATTCTTGACCTCTGACCTCCAGATTCACACCAAGCTAGGCGTGCCCTAAACTGGTTGTGTACGGTCCTGCCACTATTATGTCTCGGGGATTGTCTGAGCTTTTGATATGGCATCGATTCCTTAGATGCAGCAACCGAATATGGTTGTCTGTTGTCCTGACGTCTCCAAAGGGATGCTATTATGTTACAGGAAAACACACTTATTTCAGCATTGAAGGCACCAGATGATTGAAATCAACCAGATTGGCCGAGCTGAACTAGCGCTTTAGACGTCGCTCTGTCTCATCCCAGACATGTTCCATGGGGGAAAGGTCTGGAGAAACAGCCGATCACACTTATTTCAGATTCTAAAGTTGAAACGCGAAGGTTTACCCACCTCCCAAAGAAAACCAGCGGAGAGCAACCAAACTATGGAATATGTACACACTTTAAATAGAAATAGCCACACAAATTACAAACGAGGCACAATCCCCATAAAGTGTGCATCGTAATTGTTGTAGGGAATGAACTGGTTTACAAAGTTGACTTTGACTGAATGACTGAAACTGGTACATTTACTGGTACAAGCTGTAATAAAATAAACAAAGCCTAAAAGTATAAAATTCAAACCAAATTAAATTAATCTACAAAAGAAATAATACATAAATGTGAAAATAGCATGAAAATACCATATTGTTACACCATAATGCCGACAGCATTGTTTACATAGGATAGATATTAGAGTGGGATTTTCCGGATTTTAAGCACTTACAACGATCTAGATCTTTCGCCGATAACATATACAACATTTACCTTTTTACAACATGTAAACTGCAGAATAATATGTATTGGCTACAAACAAAGTATTCTCCGTTCATTTTGGTGCCTCAAATCCCCACAAAAGTCAAAGTTTGTTGATAACCGCAGCTATCAACTTCCAAACAAAACGTGGTTTCCAAAATAGTGGCCAAAATCCTAAACAGCACAAACCAAAACCGAGGAATTGAAACTTGGTGAAAAGTCTGGCACAAACCCAAACCCGGTAAATCCAAACTTGGTAAAACAGCCTTGAAATACAAAAAAAACTGTTCCCAACAGTAATGATTGGCGAATTTAAATATACACGTAACTACTTCAGTATCAGACAGCCAATGAAATGAAATAAAAGTTCACTTTTCTCCACTGAACAGCTATTGGCGTAAGACTACTAACGTTTAGTCTGCAACGGAAGTTTTTTGTTCTAGTATTGCATACACTCTAAACCCAAATGTTCTACTTCTGAACACTAGACAGAACACATGGATGTAACACTTTTAGAACGCGTCCATGTGTTCTGAAAATATTCTGAACGTTGATGTTCTCGACCCAGAACAGAAGTGTTCTACACACATATTTAGAACGCTTCAACCGAGACCGAGCCTGAGATTCAGAACACTACACGTTCTCAGACACGTGATTCCACAGTACTGAAATGACCTCTCATCGTGTGTGTCGAATACAATTTACCCGATGTTTTTCAAGGCGAAAGAATTTAAACAACACACCCATGCATATTCTCTGGCATAAAAATACAGGGAGGAAATTCTGAACTGTAATCATGATTTCTTTATTAACTTTATTTGTCAATATTCAAGTCAAAATGAAGAGTTCTTCATTAAACATTCATTCTGTCGTGTTGTAAATTGAAGCATACTTCCATACTTAAGATAAGTTAAGTTTCAATTCTTTCATGAAGCACATGTACTTTGCAGATGTTTCTATATTGGAATACATAGATAGAGTGTATTTATATCGACTGTGTCAGGGCGATTTAGCACGACGCCACAGATAAAACGATTGTCGTTCTGTTTATGATACTGTTTGACAGAAAGTATTCAAATCTAACATATGGAAAGACAACTATATATGATCGTTAATATTAATGAGGTACAAGTTACGTTTGGGGCAGGGAGTTCATGATCAACAGGTAGACATTAAATGGCCAAGCCGAAGCGATGGACACAGCTGTGATTGTAAAAGATAATTGATAACTAATTTCTAAGTGTAAAGATTGTCTAATACACACTACAAATCGCCTCAGATAATGGAATATATTATCATAACACAATAGAGTTCTTATTTCAAACATTCTACAATGGATATTAAATACATATATGTGATTTACAATTTACTGTTGTAGAGTGTACTCTCGATTAGTCAATCGCTTGCTTTTAATTTTTATTTAATATGTTTTCTGTAGCATCAGCATTCTGTAAACGCGTGTTCAATGACGTTAAAATCTGCAATAATAAGTAATATTTGTGTAGGGTAATAGACGGTCGGCGATGTCCCACAGCTGTGAGGTTGTCGTCTGGACAGGTGCGTGTGGCCTCGCGTGTTGTTCGATGTCGTGGTCGTATAATGGATAGACATGGTTTCAGTTCCTAAATGATAATGATAATAATAATAAGAGGAAGAAGTAGAATATTATCTTTGACTGAACTGATTTCCACGGTGACCGACGACGAGTAATTGAGACCATCTATTGCTTGACTGACACCGTTTTTTTTCTGTTTTTCAAGACTGCAATGGACATACAGTGAAAAAGATTAAACGCGGCTTGTTCAATGTTTTAGCCACACATATTAATGTCAAATAAATAGTAATTACGCACATTATAGATAATTGATTTCTGAATGAAAGTTGTTTATATTACAAATGTGATTTCGCTATGATGTTTTAATAGTATTCATTATATATATATATATATATATATATATATATATATATATATATATATATATATATATATATATATATATATTATACATATATACATATATATATATATATATACTCAACAACAAAAGTTCCTGTGACACCAATATTTAGTGTATTTTTCAAACAAGTAAAGTTTAGTTTTCAATATTGTAGTACAAGAATGGAATCAAGTCATAAAAACGCAACTGCCACAGAAAAGCATGAATTCCATGCAAAAGTTGTCTTTCATGCAAGCCCCATGCATTTCACAACCCAAGAATGGGTATAAAAACATGTGCGGGATTCCATATGCATTGTTTAGCATCGTGCTGACAACAACCACTCGGAAAAACAACACAATTATGCCATTATTCAACATTACGAAATGCCACGCCTGTCCGAAAATGAACGTCGGCTAGCCATTGGTACGCGTGAAGCAGGATCAAGTCAACGTGATGTTGCAAGACAATTTCACGTCCACAGAAACACCATTTGGTGTTTATGACAATGTTGGCAACAGACGAATGCAGTCAGAGACCATCCTCGGAGTGGCAGGCCACCCATAACCAATAATCTTTAAGACAACTCGATTCGACCAACACACCTACGAAATCGATTCCAGCCAGCAACAGTGACTGCAAGAAGCATCCCTGGCCGTCGACGAATATCTTCACAAACCGTATGTCGTCGCATCAGATGTGCAGGGGCTGTCGCCAGAAGACCCGTCAGACGTCCAATTTTGACGGGAAACCACCGTCAAGCACGTCTACACTGGTGCAGAGAGCGTCTACGCTGGACGGCCATGCAGTGGGGACAAGTTCAATTCACTGACGTGTCTCCTTTTTTCACCTCAGCCACAGCGATGGACGGATTCGAGTGTACCTACGTCGAGGTGAACGTTACGTCAATCATTGTGTCATGGAAGGAGATCGGTTCGGGGGCGGCAGCTTTATGGTATGGGGTGGGATTACAGCAAGACAGAGGGCCCGTTTGATACTGGTAGAGCAAAATCTCAATGGACAGCGCTACCGCGACGAGATCATCGGCCCTGTTGTTCTATCGTGTTTGCGTCGTCATGGCCCAGACATAACCTTTCAACATGACAACGCCCGGCCTTATATGGATCGACTTGTTCCGAAATCTCTTCAACAAATATGAATGTCATCCCCTCGCCGGCTCGCTCCCCTGATCTCTCACCAATCGAGCACATGTTGGATGAGATGGATCGGCGCCTTCGACGTCAACCACATGTTCCACAGACACTCCAGGAACTTCGAAACATGCTCCAGCATTTAGCTAGTTTTATTGTCGAAGTTCAATATTTTAAAAAAATGTTTCATATTATGTTTTTCCTTTTATGACAAATAATTCAATTCGTGTCAGTTATCTATGATCATTATCTATTTCAAACCTTTCCCTTTGTAGAATGGGATGAAATGGGAAATTTTGCTTGAAGTTTATACTTTATGCATGTCTTAAATGTCCATGTATATATGACCTGTGAAGATCAGGGGTAGAATAGGTCTTCAGCAACCCATGCTTGCCGTAAAAGGTGACTATGCTTGTCGTGAGGGGCGACTAACAAGACTGGGTGGTCAAGACTGACTTGGTTGATGCATGTCATCGTAT